TCACGAGTGAGGGATGAATGGAGCGTGGGATTGGCAGACAAATTGGTGCAGCATCCACAGTATTACAAACTCTGTACCGGACATGATTCAACCTTTTTTGTTGTCTGTACCGGTCTGTTGTAGTGAAGAGAAAGCTGAGCTGCAACGCAAAGCTTTCTCTTCTGTACCGGTCCGTTGTGGTGAAGAGAGAGCTGAGCTGTAAGGCAATGCTCACTGTTTACCGGTTGGTCTACATTCCTACCCTCACTGATGGTCATGAGCTCTGGTTAGTGACCGGAAGAATGAGAACCTGGATACAGGTGGTTGAAATTAATTTCCTCTGCAAGGTAGCTGAACTCTCCCTTAGAGATAGGGTGAGAAGTTCAGTTAACCGGGAGAGACTCAGAGTAGAACCATTACTCTTCCACGTCAAGAGGAGCCAGTTGAGGTGGTTCGGACATCTAGTAAGGATGCACCCTCGGTGCCTCCATTGGGAGGTGCTTCGGGCAAGTCCGACTGGAAGGTGACCCGGAGAAGACCCAGGACAAGCTGGAGAGACTGTCTCTCGGTTGGCCTGGGAATGCCTTAGAATCCTCCCAGAAGATCTTGACGAGGTGGCTGTGGAAAGAGATGTCTGGACCGCCCTGCTCAAGCTGCTGCCCCCACGACCCAACTTCAGAATAATGTGGAAGATAATGGATGGATGGATGGATGGATGGATGGATTGATAAATGAGGACACAGATTGTAGTGTAAAGAGTTTTGAGTATCTTGGTAAGACAGAAAAGAGCTATATAAGTGCAGTCAATTTTTTTATTTGAACAGTTACAAATGTAGACAAAAACAGTTGAATGATTTGTTGAAATGCTAGCAAAAGCAAGAAAATGTTAGTGAAGAGCCAGAAGTATTAAAATGCTAATAAAAAGAACCAAAACACTAAGAGCCAAAAGTAACAAAATTCAGAAAAATGCTAACTAAGAGCAAGCAGTGAAACACTAGCAAATATCAAACAAAAAACTTAGTCAGAAGTAACAAAATGTACGGTGGCCCTAAGGTGTAAATCAATCAACCTTTATTTAGACAGGTAAATCCCATTGAGCCTCGAGGACTCATTTACAAGAGAGACCTGAAAATGAACAACATTCAAATGTAATTTCGTTTTTTCAAATGTTGTTCATTTACACCTTAGGGCCACTGTAAAACTGCTACCAAAAAAGGAAGAAAAGGCTAGCCTAAAGTCAAAAGTAGCTAAATGCTAACATAAAGCAGGAAATGGTAGCCAAGCGCCACAGTTTTACTGAATTAAGCAGAAAGAAGCTAAAATGACCCCAAAAACGTTGTAAATTGCTGAAATAAATTAACAACAAAAACAAACTGAAATGTGGCTAAAAAGGATGAACAAAACTTAAATTAGCAGAAGAAAACATAAAGAGCACATTTGCTGCATTAAGCAGAAAGAAGCTGAAAATATCACAAAAAGGTAGAATAACCTGGGGAAAAAAAGCTACATTTAGCAGAAAACAACTTAAAAGTAGCTGAAAAGGCAGAAAAAAAAAGACGTGAGCAGAAATAGGTTGAAGGAGCATTAAAAGTTGAAATTAGCAGAGAAGCACAAAATTAGCAGGCAAAATACTTGAAATTAGCTGAATGTAGCAGAAGAATGCTATAATTAGCAGAAAGAAGCTGAAAAGAGCAGAACCAGAACATGTGAAATGAGCAATAAAATGTTGTTAACATACCAAACGCTTTGAAGGAAGTGAAGTGAGTTCAATTCATTTTTAGTGAGAACAAAATGACAGGAAAGGCTAAAGTGCAGCTAAAGTAGGTGAGTCTCTGGTATCAGGTGTTGTGCTGCTAGAAGGATTTTACTGAAACTTTTTTTACTTTTGGACATTTGTTATGATACGTAACCATAACAACAAGGTGGTGTTCTTCAACCGGGAGCAGCTGCTTAACATCTCAAAAGCTCAAATATTACCTCAACTACAGCCCCAAATCACAAATGAGTTGAAAAGTAGGCACTGTGGATGCATTCCCGTCTACCTGGAGGTGGTGCTCGAGTGCCTGGCTGCTGAGATGTTGGAGGTATCGGGAAACGCAGCTCGTGACAGCGGAAGGGCTGAGATCGTACCCCGGCACCTGCAGTTAAGTCCACAGCGACAAGGGGCTCAGCAGGTTGCTGAGAGAAATGGCCGTCACTCGGGGAGGAGTTCTGCCCGGAATTCAGGCAGTCCTGCTGCCCAAGAGGACCGAGAGGTCTGCTGGGTCTGGGTGGACGGATCGGCATCTGCAGCCAGTTTCTTCAGATCCACTGTGGGACGGACTGCTGCAGATCCTTCCTGCCCACAGCCATCAGCATCTATAACAACTCTAATGAAACCAGGATGATGAGTTACATTAACAATTAATTTCCCTTTAGGATTAATAGTTTTTATGAAATTAATTAACTTGAATTATGCCACTTCCCCTCACTGATGGGTAAACCATGGGAGGTAGAATTCCAAATATTTAAACAGAGAAGTAAAAGCAGATCATTTATATTTGTCATTCATTTTTTACATTTCCTATTCTAATTATTAATTAAAAAAATATTTACACAGACATGTATTATCCTCATCAAATAAGGTCAAGTTCACATATTGGTTCACTTTTTGACCTTTCTGACACTGTTAGTCCTCTGGCTGCGTAGTCAGGACCACAAGACTGAACAGAACCAACGTACAAACCATTGCTTGCTTCCATTGAATTATGTGAGATAATATGTAACAAAATGAGCAAATAAACAGACATAAATAAGAATTCAGGGCAGCACGGTGGCTCAGCTGGTAGAGCTGTTGCCTCTCAGTGAGAGGGTCACCGGATCAAATCCCGGCTGGGGATCTTCCTGGGTGGAGTCTGCATGTTCTCTCCATGCTGCGTGGGTTTCCTCCTAGTAAGGAAACCCACGCTGGGTTCTACCAGCTCTACCAGCTGAGCCCCCACATGTATGAAATCACAAATTAATTATTATTTCAGATCAAATCAAAATCAAAAGTGCAACCATGTATTTTGGACAAATGAGACAAAAGGAGAGACGTTTAACCCCAAAAGCATGTTTGGAGTAAACCAAACCCAACGTATCAGCACAAACACCTCGAGTCCTCGAGGCTCAATGGGATTTACCTGTATAAATAAAGGTTGATTGATTGAACACCTCATTCTATGATCGGTCTGGTGGTGAAGCGGTGATGACGGGTTTGTTGTGAAGTCCTGGACAGCTTCCAGTCGATCATGTCCACCTACAAAGTGGACCCAAATTGGGTCATGAGGCAACGGAACAATGAGTTCAAACACAACAAATCTGCAACGGCAACAGATGAAGAGGAAAATACTCAAGGAGTTGTTGAGACTGGAAGGCTGGTGTTTTAGCTGAGGAGGCCTCTTGTACAGTGACAGCTAAAATTAGCTAAAAAATATACAAGTTATGTAAATATTTAAAGAAGAGGAGACACAAGGAGCAAAATGCAGACAAAAAGAGCAGAAAATGGAAAAATCACAAGAAGATTTCAGACAAAATAGAAGTTTAGGAAGGCTAACCAACTCTAAAGGACAGATAAGAGCACAAAAACGACTAAATAAACATAAAAAGCCAAAAAAGTGCTAATTAAAAAACTAATAATTTATAAGGAACTAACAGAATGCAGTACGAGACATACAAAGGTTAAAATCTTTCTATGATAAAGTTATACAACAAAGTTATACAACAAAGTTATATAAAACTTTATTATTTTGTCTTTACGATACACTCCTTTTGCATTTGATTTCATTTCTATTTAAGTCTAAAACTGATGCATGTTTGTGTGTGGCACTACGAAGTGTTCATAAATAAATGTTTAAAGTGAAAGCTGGGATGGCATCCTGCTGTGTAGCACGGTTATCACGGTATGTCATACATTATAGTTTCTTATAGAGTTTTTAGGGCCCTGCATTGTGTTTTCTATTGATCCAGCATTACTTCTTATTCCATACATTTAATAAATGCAACGGAAAATTAAAACTAGTGTATCTGTGGTGTCTGGTTCACATTTTATTCATTGCTTTGAGTTTCCTACATTGTTTTGGTTAAAACCATAAAAATTCAACCTGCTGATAGATCATGATGAACATGATCAAAAGGGTCCTATCACCGCACTGTGGGTGTGTGTGTGGGGGTGGGGGGGGGGGGGGGGGGGGGGGGGTAAACAGAACTATAAAAGGCTGAATTAGCCTTTAAAGTGTTAAACAGATTTTAAAAAGCGATGTAGGCAACCTAAAACTAGTTTAATAAATGTTAAATTGGTTAACAATTAGTTTAAAAAAATACAGAATTTTTTTTTTAAATAGTTAGTATGGAAGTAAACTACAACTAAAAATCTTAAACTGGTGTTTAAAATAGAAGAGCAGAAGGTTAATGCTCAATAAGCATTCACACTGTAATCAGTTCTCACTTGGCTGGTTAAGATCTTGTTCAGAATCTTGCTGTCCTGCAAAATCTGAATGAGTGTTAGTGGGTGGGTGACACCTAGTGTCCAAAACTGATCATTCTTTCTTTTTTGTGGGGGAGCCGAGATGGGGTAGAGGCAGGGCAGCTGGCCCGGGACCGAAAGCCCCAGGCTTGATCCCCAGCCATGCCCACATGTCGCAGTGTCTCTGAACAAGACACCTGCCCACTGCTCCACCTGGGTGTAGCCCATGTGCGATGGGTTAAATGCAGAGAACTAATTTCTCCATTGTATGGAAACACACAATGATGACGACACATAGCACTTTATTTCACTTTTTAAGTGGTTCATAACTAGTGGTCCTCACTCTGCTGGTCTTTTTTACTTGGTCCTCACTATATAGTAAATAAAAGAAGAATATGTGTGTGTGTGTGTTCGTGTGTGTGTGTGTGTGTGTGTGTGTGTGTGTGTGTGTGTGTGTGTGTGTGTGTGTGTGTGTGTGTGTGGTGGTGGTGGTGGTGGTTGGGGGGGGGGTATGTGGGTGTGTGTGTTATCAGGGCCGATGGCTGGAAGGTGCAGGGAGGGTGAGCACTTTGATGGACTGACCAAATCTTGTATACCTTGTCGCATGATGTGCCGGCAGCCACATGTGATCCCCAGATGTGCCAGTTACTGCGGTGAGTACATTTTATTTGCAGCACATGAAAGGCAGAAACAAATAATATTGAACACTTAACAATGAAGCCGAGGTTTATAAAGATGCTTTCTCTGAAGTCCTGGCTTCACCGTACAGGATGTCCTCTACTTCACCTGACATGTTTTACATCATGTGCTTTCTTTAAATAAGAGTCTGCCCTTTGCCTGGCTACACCTGGCCACTACTTTGACCGGCTGGTGAAGAAATGTGTGAGGTGTGCAAAGATTTGTGGCAGACACCCTGCCGAATGCTCCCAGCACTGTTCCAGTGAGTACCCCTCTATCCTGGATTTCAGTTTTGAGTTACTGCCCGGCCTTCCGTCAAAACTCTGGACACAGTTGACAGAAAACAAGTTGGAAAGAGATTGAAGGCAAAGAAAACAGCAACACAGAACCTCCAAACTGCTGCAAAATACATCTGGATCATCAATAAATGTGACCTTGATATTTGCAGTTTCACAGAAAATGCAGTTTTTCTGGTGTATAAAGGAATGCTTTGAATCAGATAATTAGGCAGTCATTTCTAAGACATCTTGTGATGCCCCCTGCAGCTCTGCCCTCCCCTGTGACCAGCACTCGGCTGCTGGCTGGAGTTACCAGGCGGGTAGTGAACACCAGGGGGCCTCCAGGACTAGCTGACTCCACCATCCAGCTCTACTCCCTTTTGGCAACGTGCATGGGGTTGTTGCTTTTCAGTTTGTCTCTAGCTTTGGTGCTGTTTCTGAGAGGAGGGAAGGCCAAAAGCTCAGAAACAAGACCCCACAAGGCCGGTGACCACAAGCAGGAGAGTATGGTCCAGCCGGGACAGGACTTGGGACATCCAGGTAGCCAAGCAGCAAGGAGCTCCAATGGTCAGTACAATAAAACGTGTCATTTGGGTAACATTTTAGCTGGATGTTTTTAGTTCAGCTGGATATTTTTAATTTATTATTTTGCTTGTTTGTTCTACAGATTGTCCATCTGGTTCGAACTACTCTTCCTGCCGAGAACCATCAGATGACTCCAACCCAGTGGAGACCTGTGCATGTGTCCACTGCTTCCCTGATCTGAGAGCGCTCAGCCAGGACAGCGCCCGACCACAGAGAACAGCGTTCTCCTTCTACCAGCAGGCCGTCCTCCACAGAGCCCATGTCCAAAAGGGAGGTCCTGTCTGGACCAAGGAGAACCTGGCCCGTCCTCAGACTGAGGTCCAGGAGGACGCAGCACTGGGATGAAATTTACTGTAATCTGGACTCTAAAATAAATTTACCAAAACATTTACACCTCAAAGATTAAAGGTTGTTAGTTGACTGAAATTTTACAATCTCTAATCTCTCTAATCTCTTAATCGCTCTACAAGGCAGTGTTGAACTTGTGATCATATTATTTCTGCTCTTTTTTTTTTTAATGTTTCTGTATTATTATCAACCGGGGAAAAGAACAGTTTGCAGGGTGATGGTGAACATTATTAAACAGCTCATGGAACACTGTTCTGTTGATGTCAAGAAGGAAGCAATGCTTGTTGTTCTCACCTGCGTTTGATTTTTGAATATTTCTATTCTGCGCATCGTTATACAACATCTGTGCAGCTAACGAAATACCTTATTTGAAAATAACTCCAGTGGTGAGCAACATTTTTATTTTCCCCAGAAAGCCAAATCAAGATATTTAAAGCAAATGAAGGCCACATAGAGAACTGGAAAATACATTTTCTATAAGACTAATAATCTAGAAGACATTTTCAGGTTTTTTCTTGTAAATGGTAAATGGACTGTACTTATAGAACCTGTCTATCTTATCAAGACACTCAAAGCATATTACAACACAATCTGTGCCCTCATTTACCCATTCATATACCGCTCTACTATATTGTTACAAAGCTAACTGAACAAATATCCTGATGCATGCTCAATAATCCAGGTAGAAAAATCTAAAAAAGTTAAATCTGGTCCTCTGGACATTAAAAAAAAAACAAAGCAAATCAACAAAAAAATGTAGAAACGTTTCGTCTCTCATCCGAGAGACTTCCTCAGTCTGAGGTGCTGTTTTCAGCTCAGTCTCTTAAATAGCACCTTCTCAGAGTGGATCAACCAGTTTTGCTGCTGACAACCAAAACCAGCTGCTCACATGCTCAAGAAGGACCATCAGCCTAACAATGGATCATTAGCACACTGATGGCTGTTTACTATTCAAAGGGGTTGAGTGATACTAGCAATCACAGCATTGTAAGAGGGGGACAGTTGAACCCGGAGGACTCCATCCCTGTTTAATGATGAACGATTTCTTTTCACAAAGATGGCCTCCTTTACTCCTCTCTCAAACCATCGTTCCTCTCTGTCCAGGATGTGAACATCTTCATCCCTGAAAGAGTGACCTCTGACCTGGAGATGAGTGTAGACCGCAGAGTCCTGGCCTGATGATGTTGATCTTCTGTGCTGGTCCATCCTTTTGGCCAGTGGCTGTTTAGTTTCCCCGATGTAAGACTGATCACAGCCCTCCTGACACTGAACAGCATATACAACATTACTCTGTTTGTGCCGGGGGACTGGATCTTTGGGATGAACCAGTCTTTGCCGTAATGTATTTTGGGGTTTAAAAGCCACTGGGACGTTATGTTTAGAAAATAAACGTCTCAGTTTCTCTGATACTCCCTCAACATATGGAATGACCACTGGTCTGGGTCTGGGTTCCTCCTTTTCACCTGTTTACTGACTGGAGTCCTGTTTGTGTTTCTCCTCTGCTTTCAGGAAGGCCCAGTTAGGATATCCACATTGCTCTAGAGCCTGTCTTGTGTGGGATTTCTCCTTCTGCCTGGCTCCTGAGCTAGTGGGGATGCTGTCTGCTCTGTGATACAGAGTCCTGATGACTCCTAACTTGTGCTCCAAAGGGTGATGGGAGTCAAACTGCAAATACTGGTCTGTGTGGGTGGGTTTGCGGTACACCTCAGTTTGCAAATGTCCTCTATCAGAGACTGAGACCTCACAGTCCAAGAAAGCCAACCTGCCATTTTTTACATCTTCTCGTGTGAACTTGATGTATTTATCCACAGAGTTGATGTGGTCAGTAAAATGTTGGACTTCCTGAGATTTAATTTTAACCCAGGTGTCGTCAACATACCTGAACCAATGACTTGGTGGTGTCCCTGAAAAGGACGTCAAGGCTCTCTTTTCTACCTCCTCCATGTACAGGTTGGCAACAATAGGAGAAACTGGAGACCCCATAGCACACCCATGTTTCTGCCTATAATATTGCTCCCCATATGTGAAGTAGGTTGACTGCAGGCACAGTTTCAAGAGTTGACACAGTTGTTCTGTGGAAAGCGTGGTCCTGCTGCTCAGAGTGGTGTCTGATTTTAATTTTAAACTGACCACCTCTACTGCATCATCAACAGGAATGCACGTAAAGAGTGATGTGACATCACTCTTTACGTATTAGTTGATAAAAAAAATATATATCTCCCCAATACTCTTCAAGAATATGAGACATACTTACTTAAACTGGTTCTTTTTACAATACAGTACTTGTTAGTTTAAATATGCAAAACAAAACTAACATGTTTGAAGTCTTTAAGGGTCTAGTACACATCACAAAACATCCATCCATCCATTATCTTTACCCACTTCTTCCTTTTTGAGCTGTGGAGGTCACTGCTGCCCATATCCAGCAGTCACTGTGTGAGAGGTGGGGGACATCTGGACAGGTCTTCAGTCCATCACAGGGACACAAATGAGACAAACGACTATTCACTCTCTCACTCACACCTAGGGACAATTTAGAGTTACCAATCAGTCTAACATGCATGTTTTTGGTCTGTGGGAGGAAACTGGAGTACCCAGAGAAAACTCACACAGCACAGATGGAGCATGTGAACTCCACCCAGAAAGGTCCCGGGCAGAGATTTGAACCGGTGACCTTCTCACTGTTCTCACTGTGAGCGGCAACGCCAACTGAGCCATCATGCTGCCAAACTTAAAACACAACTACTTAAAAACATGTTTTAGCCTACCTTAATCCAAAGGTTTTCAATGTATTTATCCAAGATGTACAGCACGGTGGTGCAACTAGTTGCATCTCAGCGAGCAGGTCCCTGGTTCAAATCCAGGTCAGGGGTCCTTTCTGGGTGGAGTTTAAATGTTTTCTCTGTGCTTGCATGGGTTTTCTCCAATTTCCTCCCACAGACCAAAAACATGCATGTTAGACTGATTGGTAACTCTAAATTGTCTCTAGGTGTGAGTGAGAGAGTGGATGGGCGTTTGTCTCTATGTCGCCCTGTGTTGGACTTGCGACCTGTCCAGGGTGTTCCCCACCCCTCGCACAGTGATTGCTGGACATGGGCTTCGGTGACCCCCGTGACCCAAAATGGAAGAAGTGGGTAAAAAGATAATGGATGGATGTCCAACATGTTTCATTTTGACTTCCTTAAAATGTAGATTTCATCAAATCTTGATTGGTCAAGGGCCACTTTTGGCCACCAAGCCAAATATCGCCCACGTCTGCCTTAGCCAGTAGGCTAGATATCTAAACTGAGAAAGCTCTTCAGATGAACAAGGGAAAAACATCTTCATCAAAGAAGAAAATAAGTCCAGTTGTCTTTTCAAAAGAAATTTTTTGAACAGATGAAAAATGTTTTCAAGACTTCCATACAGCCCTTACAATTGGCTCTCGACGGCTCTACTTTTCATGATTGTGTTTATAATTCTATTATGGTTTTTTTTGTTTATCCTCTCAGACAGCCATGAGTAGAACCCAAAGAGCTGTGAGCAGGACTATGATTGCTAACGCTAACACTATAACCTAAAGGCTTCGTTTACCATCACACACCAGGGCAACAATGGTCCTACATGTACACAAGGAAAATCACTGTCTGCTTTTAGAAAACGCTCCAGTTTTCAGACTTCATTTTTATACCTTGCTGCAGGTCAAGCATAACAAGTGGAATGCAACATGAGTAAAAATGTTCTACTGAGTAGAAACATGAGCAGAAGGAAACTCTAGTCCAGAGATAAGAGAGCAGCAGTAAATCAAATCAAAAATACTTTATTAATCCCAAAGGGAAATTAATTCTTGTTGTAACTCATCATCCTGGTTTCAAAGAGTTGTTAAAGATGCTGTCTGTAGGCAGGAAGAATCTGGAACGATCCGTCCACAGCGAATCTGAAGAAACTAGTTGCAGATGCTGATTTGCCCACCTGGACCTCTCGGTCCTCTTGGGCAGCTGGACTGCCTGAATGCAGAACTTCTCTACGAGCGATGGTCACTCCTCCCAGCAGCCTGTCGAGTCCTTCGTCCTCACAGATGGAACTGTAGGTCTCGAAGGACGATCCCGGTCCTCCCACTGTCACAAGCCAGCTCCAGGATCTCAGTGGTCCGGCACTTGAGTATTGCCGCCAGGTAGATGAGAATGCATCCACGGTGCCTCCTTTTCAACTCATCTGGGATTTGGAGCTGTAGCTGAGGTATTATTTGAGCTTTTGAGATGTTAATCAGCAGCTCCCGAATGTCGAAAACCACCTTGTTGTCATGATTATGCATCATAACAAATGCCCAAAAGTAAAAAAGGTTTCAGTAAAAATCCTTCCAGCTGCACAGGATCTGATATCAGAGGAAATAATCATCCGGAAAAAAAAAAAAAAAATTACACAGAAAAAAAGAGGAATTAAAGTTTCCAGAAGCAAAATTTGAGAATGAATGTACCAGAGCTACTCCATCATGCAGCCACCCCGAGCGGTGTAATTCAAAGGTCGTGTCTGAACCGAACTTCCACCTGCAGTTCATCACTTCAGTACTCTTCAGGAAAATCAGTGAAGTTTCCAGCGCGAGCTTGTTCAGAGTGAGCGTGACTTCTGATCGGAATGAAAGGGAAGACCTCTTCTTTACAAAAACAATGTGACTTTTGACTTTCCCCACACAAATAAAGGCTAAACATTTTATTTTGATACAAAATAATTCTATAGAAGACACTCAGAGTTAAACTTTTATTTACACTGTTTGAGGGACATGAAGCTCCAGGTGTTTGCAGAATAAGTAAACAGCTGCATGAATTATGCCATTTTTTACATAACGGACATCAGCCTCACCTTAGCATACTGAGCCAATCCAGCACAGGCACGCTCCGTTATGGGTACCTCTGCCGTCACATGTCCCGTTTCTGCTTTTGCTGCTGCCTTTTAGTGTCCTCAGCAGATTATTGGTCTCTGTGTCAACCCCCTCCAGCAAAGAAGCCTTTCTGTGGTCTTCCTCCTCCCTAGCAGTGCTCGAGTCACATGACTGACCTTCATTAGATTAGCTGTAGGTTGTTTAGGTACACACATGGTGGAATCAGACAAACGTTGAAACTCAAGAGACAAATGGATGGAGAGAAAAGAGAAAGACCAAGCAAGCCCATCCTCTGAGGAGTGAAGAAGTCTGCTCTCGCTGATGTAATACTTTTCAGGCGTTTTAGACTTCATTAGATACTGCAGCACAGAACTCACTATTTTTACACTTATTTGATGATCTTTATAAGTTTTGTCAGAACAGCTGTAAAGATTGATGCGATTTCCAACAGCCTCGACCAGCTGCTCCTCAGCAGCAGTTGAAGCCAAATGATCACGTAAACACGACAAAGTTCTGACATAGAGAACTTTGTGCATTCCCTGCGAGAAACGAGTTTGTGCTCAGAGTGGACTCGTGGCGTTCATACGAGAACAAAACGATGTGATTTTAGTCAGCGAGAGAGTTCTTCGCTTTCCGCAGTCTGATTCCAGCTTTAGACCAAGAAGAAACTTTGGTGATCGAGTGTGAAGCTCCACGAAGACAGAGCAGAATTCAAACACATGGTTGTAGCAAAACTTGAAGACTTCAGTTGCCACTTCTGTTTCCATAAACAAGTAAACAAACGCAAGCCGTAGTTAGCAGCTGTTTACAAATTTAAGGACACATTAGTAATCAAAAAGAAATTATTTCTTTTTTGACCGTTTTGACTTTGCATGGAATATCTATAAACTCATCCACCTCCACTGTCCCACCTGTTTCTTTCTCACAAATATTTTCTTCTACCTCTCCAGGCTCTCTTCCACCTGTTCTCTACTCTTTCCTACAGATCACAATGTCATCAGCAAACATACAAACATGAGGACTCCCGTCAACCTGTCCATCACTATTAGTGCTCATTTGTCTCATAAACTTCTCCTGCACATTTCACTTCCTCATTCAGCACCAAGTACGTGACCAAAACTGAAAAAGTACAAAGTAACAAACACCAGCACATGGCAGCTGTCAGGCATAAGACTGGGATTAGAAGTTATACAAACCTCATTTCTAAACTGAAGAGGAAAATAAGTCTGAAATCGAACCGTAACGTGTAGGAATCAAAGGCGAACATGAAAACCTCCACATGTTTTGAACAGATTTGCCTTTATTTGAGCACATTTCTATCAATGTCCAGTTCTTGCAGCAGTAACTGTGTGCGAGGAATGGTCCAGCAGCTTCAGGACGAGCTGCACTCAGCAGTGAAGAACTTCCATGAACTTTAGTTTCACCGTTTGTCTCATACATGGAAACACTTTGAACATATATCATCATCAACATGAGAAGGGAAATAAAGACATATCAAACTGCGATACCCAGCTCAGACGGCATGCTGAATGCAAGTACTGATTCAGTACACGAACATACACTGCATACGCACGACACACGTGCATACAGACAGGATTTTCTTTTATCGTCTCTGTACATGAAAGAACACATTTTATACACCGACTCGGGCCCGTTGTGGACACGCAACATGTAGCAACATGCAGTCAACAGTTAACGCTGCAGCTTCTGACCTGTTCAACTTCACTCTTTTGTTTCCCGTTTACCTGAAATAGCATCATGACCATGTTCAAAATAAAAATTAAATAAAGTTAGGGGGAAAACAGCCATAGCAGCAGTTAAAAAAAAACAAAAAGAAAAAAATAAAAATCAGTACTATTTTGCTTTTTGTTTATAGAAACCATGATCGTGACTGAACCCAGTTAATAACATGGAAATATCAGGAGGAACCATAAACAACCATTTTAATGCAAGATGTATAAAAATAGATTCACTGGATAATCTGATCCTCCTCTCCGAGTGCTGGAAGCTGGAAGAGAGGCGCTTCCTGCCAGTTTTCTGTGAATGTCTGTTCCTTCCTAATCATACCTATTTTACAAGCTTCAACTCACCGATAAGAAACACGATCAACTTCTTTGTTTTACTTTAAAACAAAAAGCCTCACAAAGACAACATCTGGATTTGGTCTGGTGCTGGAGCGTTGGTGTGTCCGATAGATGTGCTTGTGTCAGGAAGTTGCCGGTGTGAATCCTTGCAGGTAGTTTGCAAGCAGCTGTGGAAGGTGAACCCAGGTGTGGATGAAACCAAAACAAGATCAAGAAAAAGTTCCTGCGCCTCATAGGAGGAGAAACTGAAGCGTTTCCTCCGTTATCTGAAAGCAAGTGCAAACTCTCACAGCTTGTGTCGTCTTCGTGCCCTGAATCGTAAAGTCCACAAACCTCCCTTCTACTTTCTGTCCTTTTGAATGAGTCCTCTTGATTTGTTGTATCCAGCACAGCAGAGAGGGACGAGTAAAGGATGTAGAGAGGGGTGGTTCCAGCGGGAACTGGAGTGTTTCTGTCTTGCCTTCCACGAGGCTGCAACTATTCGTACTCCAAAAACTGTTTGTGGTAAAACAAGAGGTACCTGAGGAGACAAACAGCAGCAGAGAGTAAAAAACCAGCCTTGCTAAGACGGGAGTCCTGCTGAGTCTGCCTCACCTACCCCTCACTGTCGAGCACATCCTTGATGCTAGCCTTGGTGATGATGGCGTCGTCACATTTGAACCACTGGTCCTTGTGCTGCCGGATGAAGGTGGTGTAATGGCCGCTCTCTAGCGTCCCCTGGTGGTTCACCACTGCAAACAAACTGTACCTGGAAAACAAACGACAAGCTTACGGTTCATTATTCTGCATCTAAAGAACTGCAAATAAGGCTCGTGTTGTTCTCACGTTACAGCCTGTGACGTGAGAAGCCATGTTTTATGACGTAGCTAAAAGTTCAAGTTAGTAAAATATATTTACAAGTACTCCATCCATCCATCCATCCATCCATCCAGCCAGCTAGACAGTACTGTGAGAGATGAAGGACACCCTGGACAGGTCTCCAGTCCATCACAGGGACACATAGAGACAAACGAGATAAACAACCAGTCACTCTCTCACTCACACCTAGGGACAATTTAGTTACCACTCATCCTCTGATACCCTGGAAGTACCTGGTAGTACCACTACGGTCTAACAAGCTTCTTCAATATATAGCTCGGTTCTTGTACATATCCAGTACTTACCCTTTAAGTACCAGCCAAGTATTCGGTACATACGTTGTAAGGAAGTGAATACCTCCTCGACCCCTGGCGTGTACCAGGTATATATCAGGTGCGTACACTGCAAGCCCCAAAGTATGTACCCTGTAGGCCTGTCATGATAACAAATTTTGATGGGGGATTAATTGTCTCAAATTATTGCGATAAATGATAATATTGTTTGAAATTTGACAATAATTAGTAATTACTGTTGGTTAATTTGTTATTCATGTAGTATCTTTTTTCGACCACTCGATGGCAGTATAAAACTGTTTGAACTGAAGGATGGATAGTGAGGGAGTGAGAAGCGTGTCTCTATAAGAGAAACGAGAGGGAGGCCCCTTGACGTGACATGGGCTGTCTCCCTTTCCTTTATTCGGTTCTCAAAATGGCGGCCGCTGGGTGTGGTTTGAGCCCTTTAGCATAGCATTTGTCACACAAAGCTTTTAATAAAAAAATCAGTAAACAAGTTCTCAGCTTCTTTTTTGCAGAGAAAAACAACTTTTTACACGAAGGCACGAGTTTCAACCGTGAATTTTGGAGCTTGGACAAGATGGAGTTTTTTTCTGACATCGGCCTGTTAGCTTAGCTGCTTTGAACGATCCAAATATGCAACTTTGGACGGTTAAAATGTACTTTAAAGAGAGTGGGGGGGGGGGGGGGGGGTGTCTCAGTGAACAGCATCGGAGTTGAGCCTTTTGTCATCCAGGGTCTTCAGTAGACGATAAAGTCGTCGAGGTCAATAATTTTCATTTATCATGCGATTAACTGATTTATTGTTTATCGCGACAGGCCTAGTACCCTGTCAGTACAGTGTCCTAATACATCCTGGTGTCTGTACATATTCAGGACGTACCCAGTATGAACACTGCAAGTACCAGGTACAAACTGGGCTGTATTGTGTACTGCTACCAAAGTCTGTAATTCTGTTGGACTCATGTTTGCAGGAGATATGGACATTTCCAGGATGACTGTGTTTTAGAAGAACTGTCCTCGTCAGTACTGTAGTACTGTTATGGCCTCACTCCAGCAGCAGTCTACAGTGCTAAAAAGCCAACAAACCTGAAGTATTTGTGGTTTCCTTCTGTGTTTTGTTTGAACTCACTTATTGTCGTTGTTGAATGGGTCCACAGTCTGCTGGTACTGCCCGTTCATCCGGCTTTCTTTACTGAAACACAACAAACACGTTCAATTCATCTAATGGAGCCGAGACAGGGTAGAGGCAGGGCAGCCGACTTGGGACCAGAAAGTCGCAGGTTCAACTCCCCGCCATTCCCACACGTCGTGGTGTCTTTGAGCAAGACACCCAATCCCTAACTGCTCCCCAGGCGCTGCTCACTGCTCCACCTGGGTGTACCTCAGGTGTGATGGGTTGAATGCAGAGAACTAATGTGGTCATTGTATAGAAACAGAATGATTCAACCTTTATTTATACAGGTTAGTCTCATTCTAACGTGAAGCTTGATTTCACCTCAGAGCTGGTCAAAACTAATGGAAGAACTACTTCTTAGGATTTCAGTGGTTTCTCTGTTTACTGTGGTATTATTTTTGTTGTACTTTATCAAAGCTACTTTTCTTTATTTCTGAACATTTACACACTCCATATTGTTCTCTGCTGAAGGGACAGGGACACACAGTGTAGGTCTAACTGGAACCACCTAACTGTACACACCTCTCGTTTTTAATACTCAGCTGAAGCTTTCAGGGTTTGATGTCGGCTGTGTCCAGCCGGACCGGGATATTTTCTCACATCCTTCTTTGTTTCTTCTCCTGTCTCTGAGCTCTGCTGCGGTTCTGTTGAGGGTTTGGTTTGGACTTTGGCTCACAGCCAGGAGGCCTTCCACAGACCTGACCTTCTACATCATTTATCAGCTTCAGGTCACACAGATCAAGATGCAGAAACATCTCAGCAGTCACCAAATGAAAAAAACGAGGCGCCTTAGATTCATAAATTTATAAAATACCACACAGAAAATTACAACTAGTGGTAGTTAGTCCAACCAGGTGGTAAACAAACTGCCTGATGAAGACACAGACAGGCAGAACCTGCAGCTCTTCTTCATCACTGTCTCGTTCTTTAGAGTTGAAGGTTCGAGGTTCTGCTCACCTGGAGGCCATGAAGGGGGTCATGTCCAGCTCCAGGGGGAAGGAGACGTACGTCGTGATCTTCCGCCGTAGTTTGGCTGAATGCTCGAACCTCTGCACACACACACGCGCAGGCACACACACGCGCAGGCACACACACACACACAGTGTTTAGTTACTGATATAATTAGCAGCTTCAGGTAAAATGTAATTTAGTTACCTTGAGGTGAAAGCAGGCCACGATCGGCAGCTTCTTCATGGTCAGCTGCTTGGTGGACTCCTGGTAACTATGGCAACCGCTGCACTTGATCTTGGCGCTGCTGCCCAGGTGCTCCGGTCTGGTGAACCTGGACTCAGAGACAGACTGTTTAGGGTTCTGCTCCAGTTCTGGACTCTTCAGTCACTCAGTCAGGCGAGAGGCCGGCTACCTGCGCAGACAGTCCATGAGCGTCGTGGCTCCACAGGCGGGACTCTCTCCGTTCAGAGATGACATCTCTCCTCCTGGGCTCAGGGGCCAGAATGGCGTGGAGGAGCCCGGCAGGTCCAGGCTGATGTCCCAGAACGGGTCGATGGTTGTTGAGACGCCACTTAAGAGGAGACGACACAGCAACATGAAGAAAAGACGCGGCTGTACGACAGATTCAACGAGCAGCTGAGCGGTGCGTTTAAAGTCTGTCAGCTCAGCAGGAAACACAGCTCTGAAGTTTTTGTTATAGAGAACGACACCTGGTTCTGAAGAGTTTAATAATATGTGTTCCTGTGAGTTAGAAACTTTAAAATCCACCTTTAGATAAAGGAAGTCAACAACTTGAATGTTTCTACTGTGAAGGACTGAGCTCTGAAGACGAGTCATCGAAGGGACGAAGACCATCGTGATCACTTTCACACTCAGATTCACTCCAGAACATCTCGGTCCACCGTGATTTCCAAAGCTAACAAGAAATCTCCACAAACAAATCTGAAGGTAGTTCCACGTTTCTAAAACGGCTGATGTCCAACATTATTATCCAACATAAACAAATCTTCAACTCATTCAGTTTCATACAAGATGAACATTGTGTGTGGTAGTAGCTGAGAGTCATCCTCAGTGAGAATGACGGTTGTTTACAAAGTTGGACCAGAACTACTCGGTCCTTGTTCAACATTTAATCTGAGTTCAAAGCTCTGACACACATTCCCTCAAGGAATCTTTGGCCTTTAATGAAGTAAAATAAGTTTTTATTAAAGTTTCTGAGAGCTGCAGCCCAAAGTGATGACACAGAGAGTGGATAAAGCCCTGGAGTGGGTTTGGGTCCAACTCTTGGACATAAAACATATTTAAACAGCAATAAAGTCATAAATCCAGCAGATGGCAGGAGAGAAGCATCTCCCAGACTGAGGCAGGACAGGAAGTGATGATTGAGAATGTTGGACTGACTGAAGAGGCAGTTCAATTTAGAGCTGTGATTTTTGGCCGATCCCCCAGCCCAACCCGAGCCGGGTCGGGCTTTTGATGTGGTTTTAATCGTGCATGTGGCCCCGCCCACCCTTTGCTCTTATCACACATCTGAGGATTTGCAACTGACCCCCAACAATCGACATAATGGAGCTGGAAAGTATTAAACTGACTCTACAAAGTCAACACAGTGAAACCTGCTGATGTGTGTCAGGTGCACGCTCAGGTCCGACCGGCGGTTGAAAGAGGTTAAAAAAAGTTGCATTAAGCTTTATGGACAACCGGATCATCGGCCGCACGCATCCCGCTCCGCACCCTGCTCATCTGCGGTGAAGGAAGTTGCAGCATCTGAAGCTACAAAAGCTGAAGCGAGCAGCAGTTAAAATAGTCTTGTTCTATATTTTTACAAATAATTTAGCTCTAAAAATATTTTTGTTCATCTGTATAATAGCCTCTCTTTACAGCTGATATTTTTGGGCTATTCGTTTTGTATGCTAATATCCATTTGGTGAAACAAGAAATCTTATATCTTCCTTTCTTTGAAATACATTTTTAAAACATGTCAAACTGATTTGTTTACAAAAGCAGTAAAAGCTTAATAAAATTTATTTATTTATTTTCAGGTTTGGGCCCTGTAATTACAGTTAATTGGTCGGGTCGGGTTTGGACAACATGGCTACGGGCTGGGGTTGGGTTGGATTTTTTTAGGCCTGAATGCAACTCTAGTTCAGTTTGATCCTCTAGTTTGTTTGTGAGCAGGAAGTCATGACTGGCGTGACCTTCTGACTTCCTGTCTGACTCCCTCCAACACATGGACTTACTGGCACACTTGGCAGGTGACGTCAGACTGGAGGCCCCCGGTGAAGATTTGGTCGATGATGCAGTTACAGTGGTTTGGGTTGTTGGCTTTCTTCCCGTTGTCATCTATGGACACACACACACACACTGTACGGCATCAGTCCTGTGTAACGTCTCCGTCTGCTCGTGAACAGTGAAAAGTGACAGACCGTGGAGCACGTCTGTAGCCGGCGCTTCTTTACCTTTGCAGTGGCGGTGCAGAACGTCCAGCGCTGCGATGAGGAACTCGTGGGCGTCCTGCTGCTCGTAGCCAGCCAGGTGGCGGGCGTGAGTCCACACCAGGTGCAGGAGGCGGAACGGGACGTGAGGTGAGCGATGGCCTGAGTAGAACTGACAAAAACCACCCAAGTGTGAGAGAAGAAACGTTTTTTCTCTCCTGGACAGTGAACATGAGCACATGAGACGGTCACCTCCTGGAAGAGTTGGGACATCTCACACACCAAGCACGAGTTGCTCTGCATCTCGCATTTGTGTCGGTCGGACAGGAAGAAGTCGCGCAGCAGCGGCGTGTGCGTCAGCGCCTGGACGATGCAGTTCATGAAGCACGTGTTGCCCAGGTTGATGAGACCCCGCAGGCCTGAAAGCCAACACAAACAGTTAACATGAGGAGGAGAAAGGTCTGATCGACAAACAGGAGAAATGAGGAGGAAAGCAGTGATGTCACTGATGAGGAGCCAGGTGTGTGCTGATCCCTGCAGCTGCTGGGAGGTGTCACAGTCTGACTCCAGCACTTCCTCCAACTCTCCCTGCAGAACATGTTCAGCTCTGACCTGACCTCGTGAGATTATTCTACCTTGATTATTGAGCAGCAGCAGAACTTTTTCAGCTCTGCTCCCTCAACACTTCCTGACTCCTGCGTGTCTGAGAGTAAAGAGCAGACGCTGATCAGGCAGCTCGTCGTGCTCAGAAGGTGAGTACGAACCAATCGTACAGTTGGAGGTGATTCTCCTCCTCTTGGGGTTGTGGCGGAGCAGCTCCAGCTCCCTCTTTGTGGGCTCCCACGTCGAGTACCTCTCTCCAGCTCCTGAAGCAAACCAACACACAAGCATCCGGAAACTGGCATCAACACTCGGTTTGTTTATTTAAATGAGCAATCTGATACAATACATAAATGGACTAGGGATGCAGGATGTTGGATTTTTGACCGATATCTGATATGATAAAACTTATTTAGCTCGTCCTGCAGTTTTGAAGCTATTTCAACAAATCATAAACCAAAACGTTCGGCTCTTTCTGGACAATGCTGCTATGACTTTTGGTATTGGTGCAACTTCAGCTTGTTGAAATATTTAGCCTTTTCTGCCATTTTTTCCTCAGAGAAAATGAACTGAGCTCATTTTACATCCTTCACATCTTCAGATGTGTTTACAATCTTTTACTGCTCCTTTCACATTTTGTTCTGCTTCAGCTTCTTTGTGCAAATTTAAACTTTTTTTTTCCAGCTACTTTCAGCTGTTTGTGCTTCGGATTCTTTCTGTTAACTGAAACATTTTTGTGCTTCTTCTGACTTCTTTCTGCTCCTTTCAGCTTATTTATGCTATTTCAGCTACTGTTTTTATGCTAATTTTAGCCTTTTCAGCTAATTCCACATTTTTTTTACACTCATTTTAACTTTTTTCAACCTAAATCAGCAAAAATGTACTCTCTCTGCTTCCTTTTGGTAATTTAAGCTTCTTTCTGTCTTTTTAGCTACTTTTCAGCTGTTTTTGTGCTAATTTCTGCTTTTCCAGATAATTTCCACGTTTGTGCTCATTTGTGCTTCTTTCAGCCTAATTGGGCAAAAATGTGTTATTTCTACCTTCTTCTGCTAATTTAGGCTTGTTCTTCGATTTCAGCATGTTTTTAGCATTCTCACTGCATTTACACAGGAAATGCAATTTCTCTAGTTTACTGGTAGGAGTGGGTGAACACAGGAGACCTCAGAGTTTTGTAAAACGTCCACTCTGCTTTAACTCGGAGACATTTCAGCTGTGTTCATGGTTTGACAGCTCGTGTTCAGTTTTGTCGTACCTTGCATCTTCCAGGCTTTCCTTTGCTCCTCTTTGGCGATCTGTTCCATGTCCTTGTCATAAATGTAGTCTTGGCACATGAAGCAGTAAATTCCCCCATACAGCAGGTCGATAGCTGAACAGACACACCCAGGACAGAGAGATGACAAAAACGAGGACACTCCATTAATTTGACGGTGAGGCACGTGCAATCTGTGAGAGCCGCTAACTGTAGGCTCAGGTCAGGTAGGGTCTCTTCTGACAAATCACCAACTTCTAGATAAGAGCCAGGGAGCAGCGAGGAGTCAAGAAGAAGGAGGCCCCTGGAAGAGGGAGGACCCTGCATGCTTTTCTCACAGACTGCAGCGCTCCTCCTGCATCTTTCTGTTTCATGTTGCTATGACAACCTGCCTCTCGAAGGTGCAAATGAAAAACTAATACATTGTGATTATTGAAGAACATTTCGTCTGGATGGATGTAAAGGGTGTAAGGACATTTCTGGAGGGGGGTGTCTTCACTGGTTCTGGGGTTCGTGCACACGCTGATTACGAGCTTTTCCTGGAAGCTGATTGGCTCGTGGTTCAAAATCAAGGTCATGAAAACTCCCTGCCTTCTATTGACTTTTGCCACAACTCCAGCAGGTTATAATGTGTTCAGCTTGTGACCTGCTAAAACATTTAATAAACTGAAGACAATTCTCTCGTTTCATTCTTGAATACACCATTTTTTAAGACAATCCAACAGTTAGCATTCTCTGCAGGTATGAAGAAAACAAAAAGGATGGACCAAGGTTAGCAGGCAGGATTTCACTTGAGTAGAAAATGGAACAAGCGAAATTATAAAAATCAAGATTTCCAAGTATCGATAAGGTCATTAGGTAACCATGGGAACAGGAGGAGAGGATGGAGACGAGCCGACATGAGAGTAGAATCAGAAAATAGTGAACGGTTGAGTGAAACTACATCAAACAGGTCACTGAAAGAAATGAAGAATCAGGAGGAAGTGTTTAATGAAGACTAACTCCACGGAGATCTGCCCCTTCTTTAGAGTCTTTCCCCGTCTGAGCTGAGCCTTTTTACTTCTCTGTTTCTGCAGAACTAGACTCAGCAGCTAAGCTAATCAAACTCCGTTACACTGTGCACGTGGACACTGCAGGGAGTCCTCCTGATTCGGGGGGTACAAACAAAAAATGGTTGAAAAACAAACAAACTGTAAATTCCCAACATCTGCAGAGCCCAGATTTAGTCTGGATCCCCTGAAGACCTTTTGCTGCATCAGGTTCTGCTGCAGTCTCTGCAGTCAGAGAATAAAACCTTAAGTCACGCTGTCAGTGCTCACATGAACACAAAACGATTATCATTATGACTCTTTCACAGCATTGACCCTTTAAAGCATGTCTTACTTATTTTGTCAACATTACATGAAATAAAACTGCAAACGATGGTTTGTTATATTTAAACCAACGTCAGCCTCAAATCCATCAAGTGTGAGGCTTTTTCCAGTCATTGCTCTAAGGAAGTGCACGTGGCTGCCTCCCTGGAGGCTGGAATAAAAAACATCCCAGAATGCACAGGGCTGAGAGGCTTTGAACACATCATCAACATGAAGAATACACACAACCAGTGCACGGAGGCTCACGCACACCCCAGAGTTGAACGAGACTGAAGCGTCAAACTACCGAGCAGCGCCCTCGGCATCTCATGCTCCTTAAACATCTTCACAGGTTGATGCTCACTGATAAAACAAGTAATTAATCATTAGGGGCGTAACAATACATCGATCTACATCGATACATCGATTAAATGATTAATGACTCAATTACCTCATGGAAAAAAAATAAAACATTGATTCGTATCATGATCTGTAAAAATATAATAATTAATAAAATATATTATTATTATTAAAAATATAATACATTGCATTGAAATTCCCAAGTAGGCCTGCCACGATAACAAAATATGCTGGGCGATTAATTGTCTCTGAAATTATTGTGATAAACGATAATAATGTTTGAAATTTGACAATAATTAGTAATTATTGTCAAATTTAAGAAGAAGTGTTTGTTTTGCATGAAGTAGCATTTTTCGACCACCGGATGGCAGTATAAGACTGTTTGAACCAAAGGATGGATAGTGAGGGAGCGAGCTCTCTTTAACAAAAATGAGAGGGAGGCGCTTTGGAGCTTTGACAAGACGGAGGTCTTTTTCCTGAGGTCAACCTGTTAGCTTAGCTTGTAGCTTAGCTTCTCAGATTAGCTGCTTTTAACGATCCAAGAAAGCGATTCTGGATGGTTAAAACAGATTTTAAAGAGAAAAGAGAAAGGGAGCGGTCAGTGAAGAGCACTGGAGTTGCGCTTTTTGCCATCCAGTGTCTTCAGTAGAAAGAGAGAGACATGAAGAAACGATAAAGCCGATAAATGAAAACGAGGTTGATAATTTTCATTTATAATGAGATTAATTGACTTATTGTTTATCGCGACAGGTCTATTCCCACGGCACGTCTGTGTCACTATTTCCGTGCGCGGCTGTGATCTGCGGCCGCCTTAGCAACATGGCAGTCGAGGCAGAAAACACGAATGATTAAATTCACTCTCCTGCTGGATTTAAATCAACTCTGTGGAAATATTTCAGATTCCAACAGAAGGACGGCTCAACAGTCAAAACTCATGCCGTATGCAACAGGTGCCAGTGTGAGTTACAATACTCGGGAAACAACTAATTTGGCCATTCGCCTGAAGAAGAAACACGGCATTGATAACCATGTTAGCTCTGCAAGCGTTACGTGTCAAACGGCATGCCACCTTTGACTAGTTTCTTCCCACAAAAGCTGAACAACAGTTTGAAAAGAGCAACGAGTAGCACAGGTGCCATTTCATACAAACCGGATTCCAAAAAAGTTGGGACACTAAACAAATTGTGAATAAAAACTGAATGCAATGATGTGGAGATGGCAAATGTCAATATTTTATTCGTAATACCATACCATACCACTTTATTTATAGAGCACTAAAAACAGCGACATGGCCAACCAAAGTGCTGTACAGACAAAACAACAGGTAACACAACAAGCAAAATACAAAATGAGGTAAATCAGAATATAGACATAAAAATGATGCAGATAATGACGACTAACCAGTGTGGAGCATACAGGATCAAAACACAGATCATCTGGTGTTGAAAGCTACTGAATAGTAGTGAGTTTTTAAACGGGACTTGAAAACCGAGAGGGAGGGGGCCTGTCTGACAAGCAGCGGTAACTCATTCCAGAGGCTTGGTCCTGCTACAGAGAAGGCCCTGTCACCTCTGCACTTAAGACAAGTTCCTGGAACTGTGAGGAGCAACTGGTCCGCTGACCTCAGGGAACGTGGTGGGACATATGGTTGTGGGAGACTGTTCAGTGATTTGTAGACATGCATCAGTATTTTGAACTGGATTCGAAAGTGAACCGGTAACCAGTGCAGGGAGGCCAAAACTGGTGTAATGTGCTCTCTTTTGCCTGTACTGGTTAAAAATCGGGCTGCTGCATTCTGGACCAGTTGTAGTCGTGCAATGGAGGTCTGACTGATACCAAACAGGAGTGAATTGCAGTAATCAAGCCTAGATGTAATGAATGCATGTATTACTGTCTCCAGGTTATTTTTGGACAATATGGGCGTCAGTTTAGACAGCCGCCTCAGTTGGAAGAAACATGTTTACATGATTTAACAATCATGTTTACATGATTGTTAAATTTCAGGGAAGGGTCCATTATCACTCCCAGATTAGTGACTCTTTGTTTTTCTGACAGGGTTAGAGCGGAGAGGTCGATGCAGTGATTTGTGATTGTGTCATTGGGAGGGAACAACATGACTTCAGACTTCTTTTCATTGAAACTTAAGAAGTTTAAAGCCATCCAGTCCCTGATGTCAGCCAGGCAGTCGAGCAGCGGTTGAATCGAGCATGTACCATTGTCTTAGGGGGAAGTAAATTTGACAGTCATCGGCATAGAAGTGGAAGGGCATGTTGTGTTTCCGGAAAATAGCACCAAGCGGCAGCAGGTATAAAGAGAATAGGAGGGGACCCAGGATGGACCCCTGCGGAACCCCCCCGTTTAAGCTCTGCCTCTGCGGAACTAAAATCCTTGATGGAGACACAAAAGGATCTGTCAGTGAGGTAGGATCTGAGCCAATTGAGGGCTGACCCTGTGACACTCTAACCTAGCAATGAGGATCTCATGGTCGATGGCGTAGGCGGCCGTGAGGTCCAATAGGACAAGCAGCACAGAATCACCAGTATCTGTGGATCTGAAGATGTCGTTAAAGACCTTCAGCAGGGCAGTTTCAGTGCTGTGGAGAGGTTTAAAGCCAGGTTGGAATAGCTCTAAGATGGTGTGACCTTCCAGGAAGCACTTCAACTGGGACTCGACTATTTTCTCCAGTACTTTAGAAACAAATGGGAGTTTGGAGACAGGCCGGAAGTTGGAAACGACTGAGGGGTCAAGGTTTGGTTTTTTCAGGAGAGGCTGGACAGCAGCATGTTTAAAGGATTTTGGTACCACGCCAATGGATAAACTACTGTTTACTAGATCAAGAATGGACAGACCTAGAGTGGGAAAAACCTCCTTTAGTAGTCGAGGGGGAACCACATCAAAGGGGGAGCCAGAAGGTTTCAAGTTGCACATGACCTGCTCTAGAGAAGACAGAGTGATGGGTTCAAAATGGTCAAATGGCGCTACAGATTGAGGTGGGATGGATGGGTCATGAGTTGGAGGGGAAATGAGAGCCCGAGTGGTCGAATTTTTTTCCAAAAAGAAATGTAAGAAGTTGTCACACAGCTCAGTCGAGGCTTCCAGAGGTGATGGTTCAGTGAGGTGGAGAACAGAGTTTAGGGTGGAGAAGAGGATACGTGGGTTGCGAGAGTTTGAGGTAATTATATCAGAGAAGTATTTGGATTTAGCAGCTCTCACTGCTTTCTGATAATGGCGCCAACTCTCTTTAAGTATTTGAAAAGAGACCTGCAGCCTGTCTTTCCTCCACTTTCGTTCCGCCCTCCTACATTGCTGCCTAACGGCCTTGGTGACGTCACTCAGCCAAGGTTCTGCTCTGAGTTTTGATTTTCTAGTTTTTTAACAGGTGCAACATGATCCAGAGTCTTTAAG